GGTTCGAATCCCACCGAGGCGCCGAATTTTTCACAGTTGGGTCAATATGAATTATTCAAAATCTGCAAAAATATCTATGAATATGTATAATACACGTAATTTGCCGATATTCTGCCGCTGCGTGACGCAGCTGCGAGAGGTTCGGCTAATCAGTGGGTCCCTCAGCGCTCCCTATGCGGTTTTTGGTATATGGACTCCAGGGAAAAATCGAGAGAATAATTTAAGAAATTGCTCAGTAGAGGACGTGGAGTTAAGTCCTCGCGACATTACTTTTTAGGGTCAGAGCCGAAATTTCAATGAATATTTGAGTCGAAGACAATCGACTACTGTGGAATAACCGCGTAATGCCCATTAGACAAACGAGTAGTACTATAAGTAGTATGGAATTTATATAGTGAAGATACTATACCTACTCCCGACACAGGCACTGGCTAGAAGCCCAGCTGTGTCACGCGACGGTGTAACGTCGGCAAAACACGTGTCTTAGCCCTTTTGGGATTGGGATGGTCCATAAGCCAGGATCCACTACCAGGCGACAGATAATGAGACCCAAAGACCAGCTTCCGGCAACGGAACAATCAGCAGTGGTTCATAGCATACCTTGCCAAAATTGCAGTTCGAGGTATGTGGTGAAACGGGCAAACGCCTCAAGAGAAGACGAAGAAGAGAAATAGAGGATTCCGCGGACCACGCTGTATTAGTCCTGACGTTTCGAAAGATGCCTCGTTTCCATCATCAGAGTGGTGGGGTGCTTGTTCCTGCCAGCCCAGAGTTGTTTTGTCTCGCCGCCTGCCTCGTGTTATAGGCATGCCTGATGCACGAACTCTGACCTGCCTGCTGGCGGGGGTTTGACTTTGGTCTCTCCGTGACCGACCGCTGGGGCGCTCGTGTGACCTCCGTCCCCTGCCCGGCCGTCGTTGTCGCTGCTAGGTTCGCGTGCACGTGGGCCCTCTCCCCATAACCTGTTGGACTGATCAGCTGTCGTTGCATGTGTGAATCGGGTTCGGCTATTTGGGTGCGTCGGTTGGTCGATGTCTGACGTCGGTCATCCGACCCCCGACTGGCTCTCTCCACCTGCTGTGAAAGTGACAGCTGTTGAGGGAACCGCCATTTGTTCGCCGGTGCTGTCGGCCCCGTCCGGACTGACTGGAGCCTCGTACGTAGCGTCTTGTAGACCGGATAAAGATCAGCGGCTCTGTTGATTGTGCCAAATGAGGATCAAGTTCCGAGAACCAGTCTGGCCATATTGTTGCTGGCTTTGCCGATGACGCTTGCTTCCGCAAAGGCGAAACTGTGTTTCTCCTGTTGTATGTGGCCGTATAGCAGTGACAGTCTATCCTCGCGGTTGACTGCAAGCTGGTGCTCATGCAGTCTTGTGCAGAGGCGTTTGCCCGTTTCACCACATACCTCGAACTGCAATTTTGGCAAGGTATGCTATGAACCACTGCTGATTGTTCCGTTGCCGGAAGCTGGTCTTTGGGTCTCATTATCTGTCGCCTGGTAGTGGATCCTGGCTTATGGACCACCCCAATCCCAAAAGGGCTAAGACACTTGTTTTGCCGACGTTACACCGTCGCGTGACACAGCTGGGCTTCTAGCTAGTGCCTGTGTCGGGAGTAGGTATAGTATCTTCACTATATAAATTCCATACTACTTATAGTACTACTCGTTTGTCTAATGGGCATTACGCGGTTATTCCACAGTAGTCGATTGTCTTCGACTCAAATATTCATTGAAATTTCGGCTCTGACCCTAAAAAGTAATGTCGCGAGGACTTAACTCCACGTCCTCTACTGAGCAATTTCTTAAATTATTCTCTCGATTTTTCCCTGGAGTCCATATACCAAAAACCGCATAGGGAGCGCTGAGGGACCCACTGATTAGCCAAACCTCTCGCAGCTGCGTCACGCAGCGGCAGAATATCGGCAAATTACGTGTATTATACATATTCATAGATATTTTTGCAGATTTTGAATAATTCATATTGACCCAACTGTGAAAAATTCGGCGCCTCGGTGGGATTCGAACC